CAGTTGGCTTTTCAGGAAAGAGAATAGGAAATAAATTCTGCTGAATTTGGAAATAAATTCTCTATTTAAGCTTTTCTTCCCAGTTTTGTTTTCATAGTTTCTGGCTCCAGGGACTGATGAAAATCATCTCCCATCAGTGGATTTTCTTGCACCGTTCGCTGTGCCCCTCAGATATAACTGCTTAAGTTTTAGGATCCAGCGAGGAGCTTCTCTTCCCAGGTTGAGCACAGCCCTTTTTGGGCATCTGACTGTGTTTGACGGTTCCCAGTAGTCTGAGCCATGTTACGTTACTAATCACAAGGAACTCCAGGCCTGAAGCTGACTCAACAGCAGCAGGAAACAGTCTCTGTAATCTGTTGGGGTCACACTTCCTGGTCCCTTTCAGTGACTCTCAACACTGGGACTAGGTCGCTGTCCCCTCTGCTGACAGGACCCTACCTCTAAGAGTAAAGCAGTGGATTTTGAAAGCGGCTATCCCTTGTCTCCACTGGTTACGAGCGGGTTGGGGCACATGCACAGGAGGAGCCTGTGGGATGAAGGGGCGAGCCTGGTTGCTTCATATGCTGGGTGGTTTTCAGGGCTATAGAAGTTGGATTTTTATTTTTTTATTTTTATTTTATTTTTTTGCAAGACTTTTGGCTTTGAGAAACTCAATTTAAAGGGCTTTTTGAAAACTTAGAGTATCCTAATTTTTCAGACAGTATATTCCCATTTCTAAGTCTAAACTGAGAGAGCGTATGCATCTAGAATCAATCAAACACTAGCAGAAAAAATGAGAACTCAGTGTTTTGAGGTTCTCCTACTCCTTCCAGCATTTCCTGGACTAGATGAATTGCTGTTTACCTGCTGGCTCACTTAGATATTCCTGGGACAGCCTGTGTGCCCAGGCTTTTTATTATTTTTCAACATTATTGTTCTTACTAAGAGGTGCCTTCATAGAATGATAGCCGCTTAGTAAAATAACTTTTAACTTCCATACTGCACAGCCACTCTCATTTGATATATGTATGCTGAGAGCTTGAATACACACAGAGAGTGATGGCAGATTTAGTGGAGGAAGAAATTCTGAGCCTCTCTAAGGTGGGACTGAGGGACAAATGAATAATAAAAGGCTCTTGGATTTTTTTTTAGCCAGTGCAAGTAACCCTTTCACTCATTTTTTTAGAACTGCATCTAAAAGTTCTGTTCCACTCAGCTTTGCGTACACTGCAGTAAACCTAGGAGGAAGGTCAGAAATCCAGACCTTGGGTCAGAATAAGTGGTGGGAATGCAGAAGCCACATTCACTGCTGCTTCTCCAAGATAGTGTGTGACAGGAGTGCCCTCTTCTGAAAGGATGACCATAACCCTTCTTGCTTGGGACTGGCTCACCAGCTGAGAGGAGGACCAACAGGAAGAAAATCCAAATTAGAACCCAGCACTTTACCCCTTTTTCTGGCCTTTCTTCCATTCATAAGATCTGGGGCTGTGGATGGCATAGTGATTTTAATGTTTATTTTGGCATTTGTCACATCCCCATTCCTTTAGCTTTTAAGCCCAGCTTCTTTTGGCCTTTCTCCATATGTTCATCAAGCTTAAATTTAAAATAGGACCAGGTTTCTCCCTCTATAAATGGATTATAAACATTTCCACCAAATCATAGCAATACTCTGGCTTTCAGGAATGACTTCATAGAAGTCCTTGGTTAGCAGAGGGTGTCCCTGGATTTCATTTTCTGAAAATGTCGGGGAGTCTGAGAGATGATGAACTTACATGAAATAGCAACACACGTATGCCCTTTATTTTCTAGTGTGTGCATCATTAAGCTAATTGTCTTCCTTACCTAATGAATCATCTTAGTTTTTATGATTTGTTCCGCATGTATTATGTTTATTGTAGAAATGTTTATATAACATGCTTTCCATATCAGGGAAAATCATATCTGTTTAATAAATTAGCTATAACTTTAATATCTGTGGACAACTTGTAAAATTTGGAGTGTATCATATGTAAAAAGTTTAAAGATATCAAAATAAATGCTTTAGGTGTTGACATTACTTTGGATCTGCCTACATTTTCTTTCTGTTTTGTTTCACACATTTAAATGCCGTGGAAATGTTCCCCATGTCACCTTGCTACAACTAAAGTGGGACATCTGTATTAGCTTGAAAATTAAGATGCTTATATTATTAGTGTCAGTTATGGCCATTAGCCAAACAAACCATCTTGACCTTCCCAGAGATAGCTGGATCATCATTTCAGCTGATTAATCTCCGTATTCATTGGCTATGACAACTCATGACCTTTCTGATCCATTTTGAACCTCAAATCACTGGGAAAACAGCACTCAAAGTCTCTCTCAGGAACAAGACTTGTCTCCAGGTGTATGCTCTTCTTTCTCTTTCTTCCCTGGTAATCTCTGTGTCCTCCAGTCCCCATACACTGCTTATGCTCTTCTTTCTCTTTCTTCCCTGGTAATCTCCGTGTCCTCCAGTCCCCATACACTGCTTATGAGAGACCCATGTAAGAACACGTATATCCTTCATTTGCAGGAGAGTTACTACCTACAAGAGCTCTGCTGTGCTTTTCAAAATTGCCTTAAAGTGGAAGGTATAAACTAAGGTTTCCGTCCACTTTCCCTGTCTCCTGGCCTTTCATGCTGCTCCCAGCTTACTCCCTTCCCTGGTCCTAATGTTAGCATTGGCCCTCTGAAAATGTTGCTTGTTCTGTCCGTACTCTTGTTTTTTTAAGTCAAGTTTATTAAGGTTTATTGTACACACCGTAAAATTCACCCTAATTTTTAGTGGAAAGGTTTATGCATTTTAACAAATGCATACATTGTTTAACAACCGCTACAATCAAATAGTACAGTTCTGTGTCCCCACAAAGCTCCCTCAAGCCCCTTTGTGGTCACCTTCTTGCCCCATCCTCACCCCAGCCAACCACTAACCTTTCTGTCCCTTTGTTTTGCCTCTTCCAGAATGGTCTATAAATATATATCATGTAGTCTTTTGAGCCTGGCTTCTCTCACTAAGAAGACTAATGCGTTGGAGAATCACCCGCATGATTTCGGTTGCTGAGCTGCATTCCGTTGTGCAGATGTTTATGCAGTTACCAGGTGTGAAGGATGTTTGGGTGGTTTTTGGTGATACGAAAAAAGTGAAAACATTAATGCACGGGTTTTTGTGTGGACCTACATTTCCATTCTCCTTGGGTAAATAACTAGGAGTTGCTGCTTTATCTTAAGCGACTGTATACCATCTTTGCACAACATTCTCTAACTTTGCTGTTTATACTCATTCTCTTTTTGGGAGGACAAAGCATACCATCGGAAGTTAAAGACTGTTGTTTCCTCCCTTCAAGCTAGTTTCCTGCCCACTGAGGACCAGGAAGGCATCCCCTCTCTCCCTTACTTACATACTGTCCCCACCCACCCACCCCCAACTGCCACATTCCTATTCCTAACACACAGTGCTGCTGGCTGGCTGCACTGTCCTCAGGAGCCATGTTCTTACCCAGTAGTAGGTCAGAGGCCCTGTCTTGGTTCCCCCTTCCCCCACCCCCAGCTCTTGGCTAAGCTGCAAACCTGCTGGCCTAGCATTACAGATGCTGGGACAAGGAGGGGCAGGGGGCCGTGCAGAGCAAGCACTTAATCTTATTAACTTGTATTGAGGTTACTTGGGGTTTATTTGCTGGTGGCTCAGCTCTGCGCTGGACAGTGTTGCAAGAGGCTATGGGTTCTTAAACTGAAAGCCACGGATTCTAGGATACTTGTCTTCCTAAACGTTCAAAAATAAGTGACTAGTACCTACTTCACCATGGGGTAAGTGTTTTAAAAGGACTAAGGTGACGCCTTTACCTCTCATCCTACCCCAGGGCTAGGCCTGCCAGACTTGAAAACCTGGCTGAGTCCCTTGGGAGAAATGAATTTACACTGTCCCAGGAAAGACTGAGGTTAGACACAAGGAAGTCCTGGTACAGAGTCTTGCCAGCAGCTTCCTGAGAGGACCTGATAAATGCAGGTCACCCTAAGTCTGCTCTGAACCAACCAGGGATATTCATTGTAAGGTCAGTTAACCCTTAGTCCTCCCGGCAGCTCTCAGATTTACATCTGCCCTATAACCTGGCCCACAGAGACTCACATTTCCTTGTTTGGGAAAATGTGTTTTGACCAGTGCAGGAAAAAAGATGGTTTGGAATTTTTGCTTCAATTGTTAAACTAAGATTCCACCTATTAAATGAATTCAGCTCTGGTCTAAACTAGCAAATGTCAAGATTATTTGGATAACCTTATAATCACTGTTCTTACAGACAGGAAATGGTAAGAGGGAGAGAGGTAACACCCATCTTGTTGAAACGCTTCCTTTTAGGGTCAAGTGCAATTTGGCTTTGTTAACAAATACTAGCTAGAGTTGGGGATGCTGTGATAACATACTGTTGAATAGGCTAAGATAGGCATTAACACAAATGATTTTCACACAATGTAATTTTTAATGTCTATCATACAGCTCTTAACAGCATAGTTACACATGGGCCTAGAGCAGCAATTTCACGATGGTTCTCAGCACTCCTGAGGGGAGAGAGTTCCAGGCCCCTTGTCAGAGGTGGCTGACTCCCTCAGCATTTTCAATGTGGACCATTCTTTGGTCTCAAAGAGACTCAGAAGTCTAATTAAATTAAACCTGGGTCCAGAGTCTGACAGTGTCCAAATACCTTTGATCTGATCTTACGCCCGGGAGAATTAGAGCCCCAGAACATACCCCAGGCAGCACCAGAAGTTTTTTTCTCCCCACTGGACACTTCAGAACAGTAACAAAGTCATTCTCTCCTTTCCCTAAAAGCTTCCTTTTTTTCTCTTTTCTGAGAGAAGTTAAAATTTCTCTTGCCATCACTAGCTCGGGAAGATGGACTGTCTCAAGGAATCTTCTTTAATACAGAGGCATTCCAGAAATAGTGCTTTGCAGGATGGGTATCTGGGGAAAGAAACAGGAAGAATCTCTGAGAGGACACCTTGCCCTCCACTGTAGACCATTCGTGTGGTCCATGGAAGCTGTCATGGCCACATGTGTGGGTGTTCCTGGGCCCCTCAAGAGGTGAGGCCTGGTCTCCAAAGGATGAACTCTTATCTGATTGTTGCTCCTCTTCCAGTAAAGGGCAGCCACCTAACCCAATGCTTCCGCAGACAAGCCAAAGGAGGTCAGCTGGCACTTGAGGGGTGAGATGTTGCCAGAACATGCAAATAACCTGACTTCCTCAGCCCATGGCTCACTCCAGGCTAAGTGAGGGCATGGGACTGTGACACAAAAGTAGCCTTTAACTGTGTTTTTGGTGAGGAAAGTAATCTCCTGTCTTTAGGTTATTTTGCCCCATGATTGAAGACTTCCTCTTGTGAAGCCCTCAGTGCTTTGAGAGTGCATTACTCTTAGAAAAGTATAATGCCCCCTCCTTCCACAATTACACAAATAAAATGGCTGACCTGTCGATCTTGGCATTAAAAAAAAAAAAAAAAAAAGATGACAACAGGGCCAGGACATTTTTTAGACTTCTCTGCTTGTGCACCGAGCGACGCTTTGGATACAGAATGAAGCAACTTGGAGCTCGTAATGGCATACACTTTAAGGGGGAGCTGCCCTCATGTGTGGCTAGTAGCTTCAGGGTGGAACTGAATTCATGTGCTATGAAGAGTGATCCACTGAGAGGTCCCCTGAGTCCACCGTGAGGGCATATCCAAAAGTAGTGGGCCTGAGTAGGGGTTCGTTCATTTTTAGGTCATTCAACAAATGTTTGCCAAATGCTTTTAGGGATCCTAAACTTTTTAAATCCCACCATCCAGAAGAGTCTCTGTAAAATGGCCATCCTCCTTGGGAGATTCAGATTGGATGGGGGTGTATCCACTTTTTGGAGTCCGCTACTTCTCCGTGTTCAGGAGGGGAGGGCGCCCCAGGGCCATCAGCCAGCCTCTGGGGCCTGACCCACATCCGCACCCTCAGCTTCCACCTGGTTACTCTTGCCCAACTTTTTCAGACTCTCCAAAAAGGCCTTCCAAGTCTCCGACACACTCTTTTCCAGAAGCCAGCCCTCACTCTCACACTCAGGGTCTTCCGGGTTCGACACACTTTCCAGTGCTGTGTGTAGGTAGCGCAGGCCAATCGTGATGGTCACCTGGTGGGGAGAAGAGATTTAGAGGAGGTCTGGGAGAAGGAGCTGGGGGCTGGAGCTATTAGGAAACTGTGCAGACCACCAGCCTCTTCAACCCCGGGGCCCCACAAGTGTGGCAGGGTCTCTGGAGTCTGGGTCAGTGAGGGCCTGCACACCAGCCTGGCCTGGCACTCAAGATAGCTGCCTCTTCTCCAGCCTCATCTCCAGCCCCATTCTCCTCTCTCTCTGGTCACCCTGGGCTCCTTAGGGTCCCATCCACACTTTCTTCTCTCTAGTTTTTACCATTTGCTGTTTGCCTAGAACATTGTTCCTCTCCACATTCACCTGTTAATTCAGCTTCAGCCTTCAGTGAGTGGCCCTGCTACTCCCTCTCCTTCCTCCTCTCAGGTCTCACATTCTGAAGGCATTAGTCCCAGGCTTCTCCTCATAACCACCCCATTCCTAGCATAGTGCTTGGCCCGTACTGGGTGTTGGGTAACTATTTGCTATACAGAATTAAAGTCACCCCCTTCTCAGCAAACAGTACCACTGTATGTGGTTTCCTCTACTTCGGTGTTTTGATTCGTGCAGGGATGAGTGGATGATTAGTTTGCATTTGCTCACTAGCAGTCATTGCAGCGGGCTATGGAGCCAAAATGCCTGGGTTCAAATCCCAGTCCTGGCACTTAGCCAACCATGTGACTAAGAAGCCTCAGTTTACTCATCTGGTTTACAGATTTTCAGATGAAGTGTCTCCGCCGCGTGTGCATGCTGTGTCATGTCAGTAGCCGTAGAGCACGGCACGTGGTGCGCATGTCGGCCGTGGTTGGTTATTAGTGTGGTAAGTACTGTTTCCACTGTTCTAATGTATTGTGTTACCCACTTGTTTCTACACAGATTCCTGGTTTTATTCTCCTAGACACTGTGAGGTGGTGAGGCCTGCTAACAGAGAATGTCCACCCCCTAATCCATCTCATTCATTCAGTCTCCCAGCCCCTAGAATAGCACCCCATGCAGTAGGGCCTCAGGAAACATCTATTGAATCAATGTTCAAGGAGTATTTTATCATTGCAATAGCAGATGACATTAGTAACTAATAGCTTTAGGTTTTTGTTATTGTCGTCATCTATTGAAAGTTTAATAAAATATTCTTATGGTGGAAAAACTCACCTCCAGGAGGTCCTTCTGGTATGCATGCTCCCACTCTGATCCCCTCCTGCTTTCCTGAAGGAGGCTTACTGCTGCATTATGAATTTTGCACTTGGTAATGGTTCTCCCTTTGGTTCATGAGTTAGACATCACCTCCTAACTGGATTGTGAGGCCCAGAAGGGCAAGGCTCAGGCCAGAGTCCTAGTGTTAGTAGTTCAGCCACCCTTGTGCTCATCACAGAGTTCGGCTAACCGAAGACCTCAACTAAAAATCAAGGGCATTTACTCCCTGTTTCCAGTGAGCCCGTCCTCATCTCATATAGTCACTAGCTCCCTAGAATGGTGAGCAAACTGAGAGGCAACCAGTGGGACCCCGTTTTCCCACTGACTTCTGTTATCCTTTCAGTCTTCTTTTCATGGGTTTTCAGGGGACATGACCTTCTGACCTTCTAGCAGTAAGCTTCTCGCCCAGCTCTACCCGCTCATACCCAAGACTGTGCCTCAAGGAGTCAATAGCCAATAAAACGATATTCATTTGCCTCAACACTAAAAGAAGCCCTCCCTTCCCAACCAGCCCACCCCCCAGATTTTACAGTACTTCTTATGTGATGTAGTGAGTTAGAAGTAGTCATCTCAGCCAAGGGCACAACTCTGTGTGAACTTCCATAGCACTAAGAGAACAACTTACTTAAAGAAAACTTTCAGTGAATCTTCTCTAATGGACAAACTTTCCCCACCTAAGGCTTCTTCCTTTGTACTTGTGAATCTGGTTTGGATTTTCTGCTGTTAGTACAAAGCAGGAGCCCCTAAGTCACCCTCTCTACCCCCACGGTTTATCACTCCCTAATACTTGCTTTCATTCAGCACCCAGGACAGCGCCTAGCACTCCTTAGTGTCTAAGAACAAACTCTTCGATTAATGAATAAATGGCTACATCCCAAACTCTTCTGTACAGAGAGGAATTAAGCCTTACAGATGAGATCAGATGAACACACTAATTAGAATAACAGCTAAATTGCTACCAGAGTCTCCAGAGAATCACAAATCCAGACAGCTCCCATTTCCTGAACACAAGGTACGTATTATCTCCTTTTGCCCCCCAGGAGTCCCAAAGCTAATGCTTTCGGCACCCTATAACAGAGAGGTTAAATAACTTTCCACGACCTCGGACTGAAAAAACAAAGGCACAGGATGAACCTCTAAAACATGCAAAGTGAAGGAAGCCAGACAGGAAAGTTACATACTGTGATGACATTTATATAAAATGTCCAGAATAAATAAATACACAAGAACAGAGCACAGATTAACGGTTGCCAGGGGCTGGGGGGAAAGAGATGGGGAGTATGCTCCTTAATGGGTATGAGCTTCTCTTTGGGAGTGACGGAAATCTAGAGCTAGATAGAGGTCGTGGTTATACAACATTGTGAATGTACTAACTGCCACTGGATTGCTCACTTTAAATCGTTCATTTTATGTTCCATGAATTTCACCTCAATAAACTATTTTTTGAGTCATAGGAAACAAACAAAAAATAATGGAGGTGCTAGGATTGAAACTTAGGCCTGCCTGACCCACAGCTAGGCTGAGGGCTGGTTCCGAGGAGAGAGACAAGCACTCCAGGCTAGGCCCCACCCATGAAATCCAAATGGGGCAGGTGGCTCCCACTTCCTCGCCCCCACCTGGCCCAAAGCCTACCTCAAAGAGCCAGACAAGGAGGGTGACAGCACCCATGGAGTTCATGAGGCTGCTGTAGTAGTTCAGCAGGGCGGCCCTGCAGCCATTCACCCACAGGTTCAGCTCCTCCGTCTGGTGGTCGTAGCTGTAATGTGCTGAGTTGTTGGTGAGCTGGTACTGAATGCAGGGCCGTGGTGAGCTGGGGTTGCAGCAGCTGAAGGGAACGCCATCCACCAGGTATCGCCCATCCACATTGCTCTTGATGCGACTAGAGGAGAAAGATGGCTTGAGAGAGCTTCTTGTATTTCTCACCAGGAGCCAGCTCCCCCCATCCCTACCTCCAAAAATCTATAATATTCATTCATCCATTTGTTCATTCATTCATTCTTGATAAATATTTGTTGTGCATCTACTATGTGCCAGCCACTGTTCTAGGAGCTGAAGATAGAGAAATGATGGGGCGCCTGGGTGGCTCAGTCGTTAAGCGTCTGCCTTCAGCTCAGGTCATGCTTCCAGGGTCCTGGGATTGAGCCCCGCATCGGGCTGCCTGCTCAGCAGGAAGCCTGCTTCTCCCTCTCCCAACCCCCCACTTGTGTTCCCTCTCTCACTGTATCTCTCTCTGTCAAATAAATAAATAAAATCTTTTAAAAAGAGAGAGAGAGAAATAACCCTAGAAAACCAATCTCCCTGCCTTCCTAGAGCTAATGTCCTACAGGGTTGAGACAGATGATGAATCAAGAAGCAAGTCAGTAAGAAATGTAGAAATTCTTCCAACCACCCTGTGGACTGCCAGGCCATGGCCTGCAGGGATTATTTGGAACCATGTCAAGCTGGTAGAAAGAGGAGCAGGACAGGTGGTGACTAGGACAAGACTTGACAACAACCTTTAGCCCCCAGCCCTGTCTCCAACCTTCTATCTCCCAATAACAAGTCACTGGGAACCAATGCCCCCTCTGGCCAGACCAGTTCTATTCAAGAGATGTTTCCAGAAGTCCTGCTCTGGCCCGGGTCTGTGTGCGGGCAGGGAATGAGACTGGACAGTCACAGTCCTTGCCATCAGCTTGCTTGATGTCCACAGTGAACTCTGCCTGTGGCCAGGTGGGCTCTCCTTACTCACCTGAAGGATGCAGTGCACATTATTTCTGCACTTCCATATTTACTATGTATTTGGTTAGGGCGCACCATACATTCATCTGGGTTGAGAATTCAAAAGGGGCAGACATCTTTACAGTGAAGGCTCTCCCCATCCTCTTCAGGCATCTGGGTATGTCCTGTCTGACCTGAGTGCAGTTACCCAGGTGTCTTATGTGCGAGACGTCATCAAGCTTCACACTTAAGATCTGTGCGAGTGTATGCCTGTCATCTTGAGTACCAAGTTTTTTTTAAGTTGCATGTGAACAATGCATTACATAATAGTGGCATACTTTTACAACGCAAGAATAGAAAGCATGTAATTATTTAAAATAGAAATTATAATTCCACTTCTGGGTATTCAAGGAAAATGAGAACATTAACTCGAGGGGCACCTGGCTGTCTCAGTCATTGGAGCATGTGACTCTTAATCTTGGGGTTGTGAGTTCAGGCCCCACATTGAGTGTAGAGATTACTTAAAAATAAAATCTTGAAAGAAGAAGATATTAAGTTGAAAAGATAAATGTATTCCTGTGTTCACTCCAGCGTTATTTATAAAAGCCAAAACATGGCAACAACTTAAGTGTCCATTGACGGGTGAATGGATAAAGAAACTTTGATACACACACACAATGGCATATTATTCAGCTATAAAAAAAAAAAGTCTTGGGGTGCCTGGGTGGCTCAGTGGGTTAAGCTGCGGCCTTTGGCTCAGGTCATGATCTCAGGGCCCTGGGACTCGATCCCACATCGGGCTTTCCGCTCAGCAGGGAGCCTGCTTCCCTCTCTCTGCCTGCCTCTCTGCCTACTTGTGACCTCTGTCAAATAAATAAAATCTTTAAAAAAAAAAAAATCTTTAGGGGCGCCTGGGTGGCTCAGTGGGTTAAAGCCTCTGCCTTTGGCTCAGGTCATGATCCCAGTGTCCTGGGATCAAAACCCGCATCAGGGTCCCTGTTCGGCGGGAAGCCTGCTTCCTCCTTTCTCTCTGCCTGCTTCTCTGTGATCTCCGTCTGTCAAATAAATAAATAAAATCTTTAAAAGAAATCTATAAAAAAAGAAATCTTGCCATTTGCAACAACACGGATGGACCTTGAGGACATTATGCCAAGTGAAATAATAAAGACAAATACAATTTGATCTCACTTATATGTGGACTCTAAAAACAAAACAAGCCAAAAAACCAAGTTTATAGATACAGAGAAAATTTGTGGTTACCAGAGGCAGGTGAGATAGGTGGGTAAAATGGCTGTTGGTGACCAAAGTAGATGCTTCCAGTTATAAATAAATAAGTCCTGGGGATATAATATACAGCACGGTGACTATAGTTAATAATGCTGTATAGCCTATTTGAAAGCTGCCAAGAGAGTTAATCTTGAAGTTTCTTATCACCAGAAAAATAATTCTCTAACTATATATGGTGATGGATGCTAGCTAGATTTATTGTGGTGATAACTTTGCATTTTATTCAAACAGAAAATCATATGTTGTATCCAAAACTAATATAATGTTGCATGTCAACTATACCTCAATAACATATAAGTAAATAATAGAAATTGTTTTCAAGGGGCGCCTGGGTGGCTCAGTTAAGCGTCTGCCTTTGGCTCAGGTCACGATCTCAGGGTCTTGGGATTGAGCCCACTCCCTACTCAGTGGGAAGCCTGCTTCACCCTCACCCTCTGCCCCTACCCCCACTTGTGCTCTCGCTCTCTTTCTCTCTCGTGCTCTCTCTCAAATAAATAAAATCTTCAAAAAACATTAATAAAAAGAAATTCTTTTCAACAATGTTCATTGAAATGAAATTTCAGTGTTTAGCTTCTAAATGTCCGTGTTTAGTCTCCCACTCATTCTTGTCCCTTTGACCTCCAGGTGCACCCAGCTGTAGCCAACTGTCTATCCTTCTAAAAAGGTTTCATACGGGGCACCTGGGTGGCTCAGTCATTGGGCATCTGCCTTCGGCTCAGGTCATAATCCCAGGGTCCTGGGATCAAAACCCGCATCAGGGTCCCTGTTCGGCGGGAAGCCTGGTTCTCCCTCTCCCACTCACCCGCTTGTGTTCCCTCTCGGCTGTGTCTCTCTCTATCAAATAAGTAAAATCTTTTAATAAATAAATAAATAATAAAAAGGCTTCATACATGAAAAGTAAACACAGAATCTGCAAATATTCTTATTCTTCCTGATTTTTTTACCCTGATGGTAATGTACTGTCTTGAACCTTTCTCTTTTCCTTTAGCAGAATCTTAGAGATCTTTTTATGTCTACTAGTGGAGAGTGTTCTCCAGGTTTTTTGTTTTGTGTTTTTTTTTAATTAGTGATGGACATTCTCTTTTCTTTCAATTTTTTAAAAGATTTTATTTATTTATTTGACAGAGATCACAAGTAGGCAGAGAAGCAAGCAAAGAGAGAAGGGGAAGCAGGCTCCCTGCCAAGCAGAGAGCCCGATGCGGGGCTTGATCTGAGGACCCTGGGATCATGACCTGAGCTGAAGGCAGAGGCTTTAACACACTGAGCCACCCAGGCGCCCCTGTCTTCCAGGTTTTTAATGAGCTGCATGGTATCACCATTGTACAGGTGATCCGTGGGATACTAGTCAGTTCCCTACTGCTGGATATTTAGGGTTTTCCCAGTGTCCTGTCAATACAAACATTTTGGGTATTGTGAATATATCTAGAGGGTTAATTCCTAGAGAGGTATCCCTGCGTCAAAGTGTGGGTCCATCTGTGATTACCCTAGATCCCTGCCATATTTCACTCTGGAGTTCGTACAATCACATCCCCAACAGACATGCATGAGACGACCTATCCATGGCTGTACCCACACAGGTTTGATTTTTGACCTTTGCCAACCCGATAGCTGGAAGATAGTATCTAACTTCCATTTTCCTCATTATGAATGAAGTTGAGTATCTTCTGCTATGTTGAAGGGTCATGTGTGGTTCCATTTCTGTGAACTGTCTGTTGATCAGTATAATTAAGACTTCAGGAATGTTCTGCGAAATGTGGCCTCCTTGGTTCCAGAACAGTCCTTGCCTGGGTTATGGTGACCATATTTCCACATGCTCTCTAGTCCCTGACCTCTACTTCCTGGGCAGGACCCTTGCCCAGAGAAAGGGTAGGTCTGGGTACACAGGAGATCCAGAGCAGTGGTAAGAGCAGGATCACCTGAACTTACTCCCAGTTCATTCCTCTGGACAAGTTCCTTCGCCTCACTAGGCCTCAGTTTCCTCATCTGTAAAATGGAGTTGATACGAGATTGTATGAAGGCATGCATGTAAAAAGTCTTGGAAGAGTGGCTGTTACGTAGTAAGTTCACAACAAGCATGGACTCATGGCCAAGCCTAGGTGAGGCGATGGAGCAGGAGCCTTCACATGTGCTCTGTGTGCCCTCAGGAAACAACTGTGACAATGAACAGACCACTCAACACCACCGGGCAGTAGACACTTAGGAGCAGGTGGCAGGGTTTCTGCCAACCAAGAAGAAGACACTATGAGAGTCTTCTGTGGGGACAGCAACTATGTCTGTAAGAGCAGAGCTCACTGCTGACCTGAGGCAAGCCCTATTAGACATTTGTCGCTGACTAAAGCGGTTGCTACTGAAGTTCTTCCTTGAGTCTAACTGAGTGCACCAAGAGCACAGTGGGAGCAGAAACCACTCTGCTCTCTCCCTGCAGACCCTGCTCAGCACCTGGTGGTGGGACCCTGGGTGGTCCAAGTTGGGAAGACTGAAGCAGAAAGGCTATCAGTTCGGGATTCCTGTCCCCCTCTTGAGCCAGCAGTCCCTGCCCAACTGAGCAGACAGTAATCTCTCATCCCCAGTCTCTTGATGCTGGGGGTCTCTGAGCTCAATTTCTGTCTGTCCTTTTTCCTGACCTGCAGGCTGTCCCTTGAGCTTTCTCCCACCAACACAACATCCCACCTGGGCCATTCCCAATGTCCCCATGAGAAGAGTGGAGATAGTAGAAGGGCCCAGACTTTGAGTCCCAAGTCTGCCTTTCTGATCTGTGGAACTTCATCCTCTGGACCTCTGTGAGTTGGGGATTACCCTCTTGGCAGCTGTGGGGAGCTTTAATGAGGCAAGGTGTGGAATGCACTTGACACAGGCCCTCAGAGAATGCCCATGGCCAGCTAGGCAGGACCTTAC